AGGGCAGCCCTGGCGGAGTCCAACATGCATAATGGTCATCCTGTAACATGAAAATAAAAAGGATTTAATATTTTTGTCGCTCAAATTAGGTGCCAAAGCCTGCACATATCTGGCAGCACGGACATTAACAACACATACACCAGCAGCACGATTTGTTGAGCTTTTCGACCCCTGGTAGGAGGTAAATGATCATCAGGCTGGTGTCACCTAGTGCCTCTGCTCAATTTCATTTCTCTCCAGCGACTAGGTCAGGAATCAGAATACACTAGACGGTTTGTAAGAAAACCGGAAGAGCAAGTTCGGGCACCAGCCAATCAGCGACGAGCCAGATATTTTGTGTTGGCAATGACTGAACAAAGAGAATGTTTGGTGAATTTCATCAAGGGGAAAGATGTTATAGGTGAGTTTCAGCTGACGTCATTGTTATTAAAATCCCGCGTTGCTGCTGGGAAATATTTTGGTCGGAGGCAAGAAACACGATAGCGTCAAACACAGTGCGTAACCTCGTGTATTTATCCCCGATAATGGTAAATTCCTGCTGCATTATCGGATGCACAAATAGAAGCACGGAAGAAGGAAAATGTCTTTTTCGTATTCTGAGTGAAAAGAACCTCTAACGGTGAATTAAACGGCTTTCAAACATCCGCAGAGCAAACGTAGAAGATCCTAACAAACCGTGGACTCCAACAAGTTCAACAACACATCGAGACTCTTGGAGGTTTTCATCTTTTCTGCTGTGAATGGCCCAGGAGTTTCCACCAAGTCATTGTGGATATCACCAAAGTGAATATTTGTCCAGGTAGTTGGTGATTCCGACCAGAAATTTGGTTTGGTCCACCTTTTGTCGGGGTTGAAAAGGGTGATTTGTCGTCCGTCGATGCTTATGACCAATTTCTGGTCAAATCATCTTGGGTCCTCTGCCGTTAGAGTGGATAAATAACCGGGATCAATACCCTTTACGTGCTTTCTCGCTCCGTCCGTCATGTTGAATTACCGTGTTTGCTAAGGTGTGCATCGTTTTACCATGGAATCAGCTCAACATTCCACCACAGACATACATGTAGAACACCTCTAGTGTGATGTGACTGTAAAGTATCGATACATCTGTTCTGGGGCAGGGCACATTTTGCTCAGATCCACGTGAAAATAAGAGGTAGAGCTCCTTTAATGGCTCCTCTTTAATTCCAGCCTCATGTTTGTTTGATGAACAGAGCGAACAGAACCACAGGGCAAGTCCCGTCTCAAATATTCAGCGTAATATCAAGAAGAGCTTTTATTACACTTGCTAAACTTTAATCATATCTGAGAGGTGCAAATAAATGAGAACCCAAGAGGTGCGCGTTATGTCATTAGGCTTTGATATATCTGGAAGAGAAGTACTTTGGAAAATGAGGAACAAACTGAACAACAGCTTATCATGATTTTACTAATAGGCAAAATTTGAATGTTTATTTTTCCGATTTGAATCAAAACCCCAAAGGCCGTGTTCAGAATTTTAGGTTAAAGAATTGTCACATTTACATGAGAGCTTTAATTCCATAAAAAAATAATTTACTTCTGAATGAAAATGAATTCTGTTTTAAAAAGACCATGTAACCACTTAATTCCTTCTGAAAATGATTATTCAGAATTAAACTTAATTCTGAAATAAATAGGTGAATCCGTGTATCATTCGTTCATTCGTTTTTCAATATAAAACCAAAAATAAGAAAACGAAAAAACAACAGTTTTCTTCGTTATTTGTCTCCAAAACCAAAATGAAAAAACGGATAACGATTCGTTTTTTCAGTTTTCGATTTTGTGTTTAAATGAAGAATGGAAAAAACGGATTACGGCCGTTTCCCGTTTACGTGACTTCAGTGACTGCGATGCCGAACTTTTGCACCGCGTACGGACTGAACCGGGACTGATCCAGGTCCGAGACCAGACCGAGACCAGAGCGGGACTGAGACCGGGACCAGACCGGGACCAGAGCGGGACCAGACCGGACTCCGAGCTTTGACTCCGAGCCTCCACGGGGTCCGAGCCTCAGCTTCGAGCTCCGGCCCTGCCGTGGGCTCTGAGCCTCCGGTCTGGTCCCGGTCTGGTCCTGGTCTTGTCTCGATCTCGGTCTCAGGCCTGCTCTGGTCCCGGTCTGGTCCCAGTCTCACCGCATACGGACTGAATCAGGACGGATCCAGGTCCGAGACCAGACTGAGCTGCTCCGGTCCTCCGCGCTCAAGAACCGCGGCTGATTCCGAGGTGGTGCAAAGCCTCCGACTGACGCATTCACACCAACGAAAACGAACCGAACTAAGACCGGACCAGAGCGCTACTGAGACTCAGTCCCGGTCTCGGTCCCGCTCTGGTCCTGGTCTCAGTCCCGCTCTGGTCCCGGTCTCAGTCCCGCTCTGGTCTCGCTCTGGTCTCGGACCTGGATCAGTCCTGGTTCAGTCCGTACGCGGTGCAAAAGTTCGGCATCTCAGTCACGGAAGTCACGTAAACGGGAAACGGCCGTTATCCGTTTTTTCCATTCTTCATTTAAACACAAAATCGAAAACTGAAAAAACGATTCGTTATCTGTTTTTTCATTTTGGTTTTCGAGACAAATAACGAAGAAAACTGTTGTTTTTTCGTTTTCTTATTTTTGGTTTTATATTGAAAAACGAATGAACGAATGATACACGGATTTAGGTGGTTTATTCCAATTTTAAAGCCGATTTAATTCATTCCTCAATCTGTGTATCATTCGTTCATTTGTTTTTCAAAATAAAACCAAAAAAATAAAATAAAAAAACAACAATTTTCTTCATTTTTTTTTTTTTTTTTTTTTTCATTTTTCGATTTTGTGTTTAAAGAAATAATGGAAAAAACAGTTAACGACTTTTTCCCGTTTTTCATTTTGGAAAATAAAAAAAAATTTAAAAAAGAAGAAAATTGTTGTTTTTTCATTTTCTTATTTTTGGAGTTATATTGTTTTATACTGAAAAACAAATGAACGAATGATACACAGATATTCCTCGATCATGTTTCTTCTTCTTGAAAATAATCCCGGTTGTTCAGTTCATTCTCGTTTTGTCGCCCTTCTGACGCGATCCGAATGATCCGGCTCCACCAGTCCTGGCTTCGGACTTTCATCCACGTCTCTTTGGATTTGTGAGCGGGATGCGGGAGTGGGCTGAGGTAGAGCAACTTCACACTCAGTTTGTCTTCTTCCTCCTTCTCCGACACTCTTCCCTTCTCCTCCTCGGCCGACAGACGTAAAGTGTGATGAGACAATTCTCCAGCTGCTGCTTCATTATCATCGGAATCACTGCGGAAAAAGTTTGTATCATGTTTGTGTCCGTGACGTAATGACAAACCGAGACGACAGAAAAGCCGGTAGCAGCTGAAGTGTTTGTGTTTTCTTCCGGTCGACGTAAATACGTTCGTGTCTCTGTCCAATCAGAACCTTTCCAACTGCAAGACGTCGAGCAGAATTAAATTTAGACGATTTAACATGTTTTCCACGTAAACCTGAATTTAGAATTCTTATTTTCATGTGAACTTGAAGGAGGATATTTTAATTCCAAACAATTTAATTCGGAATTTAAAAACACCATGTAAACGGTAATTTTGACTTAATTTGATGGGATAATACGTGTCGTGAATGTCAGTGATAGTTTACAGCAGGGGTGGGCAAACTTTTTGGCTCGCGGGCCACATAGGGTCCTAAAGTTTGGCTGAAGGGCCGGACAGAAAATAAGACATAACGTGTTAAGAGCTCAGATTCATTACATCATCACGTTTATGTAGAACTTCAGACGCTTCGACATTTCTGTGAACGATTCAGACACATAAAAGTGAATAAAATCTGTTCCACTGCACACGACAGGGAAATAAACATCATGAGCTCAACGTTGTAAAACTGGACACTATGAAGTTGCACATATTGACATTTACATCTCAGAATCTTCAAGTTTTCAAAGTTTCATTTTTACCACCTTAAAATGGAAGCAGTGCAGTCTTATAACTTGAACACAAACTACTTCACTCATGGTCCGAATTACTCCTGTAAGAACACTTTCCCATAAAGCATTGCGGCCAATATAATACGCCGCACCTCAACGTATATGTAGTGCGCCATCTACTGGGAAACGATGGAAATGCATGACAAATAAAACATCAACAAGGTTTATTTTTGTAATTTCTTCCAGTTCGGCGGGCCGGATTAAAAGGTTTAAAGGGCCGTATACAGCCCCCGGGCCGTAGTTTGCCCACCCCTGGTTTACAGGCACAGCCGCCATAGAACTATAATAAAATCTGGAAACCATTAGACATTTAGCTTTAAGACCAAGAGAACACTTCTTGAAATGAAAAAAAAAAACAAACAAATTTGATCAAAGGCACTCATTGTGTTTCAAAAATATAAATATCATATAAATATTTGATAAAAACATTTAAATAATAGAGACATTTTTGTAAACCCATGAAAATAAAAACTATAAAATGAGATGTGTGTAGAAATATCTGACGTCCAGCAGATGGCGCTGTGTGTCTCTCTTGTCAGAAAGAGTGTTTTAGGTGAAGGTTCAATTCCCAGACAATTCATAGTTTATTGTTCTGTGGCCAAACAAGTCAAATCTGTGGTAATTTTTAAAGCAATAAAAACATCTGAAATTAAATAAATAAACGTCAAATTAATACCATAGTGTGGAACATTCCAGACAAATCAAGAACATCTCCATGGAGACAAGAAGGTGACCGACCTCCCACTAGAAAAGTTGCGTATTGCACCTTTAATCACAGGTTTTTTTTTGTTTTTTATTTTAGTTAAAACCATATTTCAAAACATTCTCCATGAAGATAGGTTTGGTTTATGCCATACTGTGGGATATTCTAGCCAAAGGAACAACATTTCCATGGAAACAAGCAGGAGGAGGTTTGTGGAGATGCAAGCCCGCTCACTTTAAGGACGCATGTTTTTTTTGTTTTATTTTTTATTTATATTATGTTTTTCAGTGCAACAAAACAGCCAAATAGAAAAAACGTCTATTTTTTGGCAATAAAAAAGTTACATTCTGTGGCTTTAACTCCTTCTAATAAATATGGTTAAATATGTTTTTACTCTTACAGAATGATTCAACAAGTTACAGACATTTTGCTGTCGTTTCACTTCAAATCTAACTGTATTTAACAGATTTAACAGTACAGTAGTTTATTATCGTACCAGAGCTGCTCAGGCTGTGGGACTGGGCTGTGTGCCTGTTCTCCATCTCGTCCCTGTCCCCCCGGTCCGTGCTGAGCTCAGGTAAACTCTCTCCATCTGTCTCCGTCCTCATGTGTCTGTGTCACATTTACAATCTAAAAATAAACTCCAGGATGCTGTCAAAATAAAAGTGCAAGTGCAAACGTCCCGGCCTAAACACCGTGTCAAACCGTGTCACACTGTGGCCTCAGGGTGCAACATAAAATATGAACCATAGTAAATATAAACTCCAAATAAACTAAAATCAAATAAACAAATGCAAACAATAAGATGTTAGACCAAAAAAATTGAATAGATTTAACATAAATACAAAATATTCAGCATGAACAACATTGAAAAAGTATTGAACAGACTGGATTTACATTCTGGAAGGTGGAATTCACTTTGATCAAAATGACTGAATTTAAAGTTTTGTAAATGTACCCGACAGGATGTTTGTGGATAGGCCCAGTGTTACACACAGATCATCTGTATAAAAGGATTGTTTTGTAGTTTGGGGAAGTAGACAGAGTCTCCCTGATATCCCCAGTAGAACCAGACGCCCACGTGCAGAGGCTGAGTGAAGTGTGTGTGGAGTCTGTGCAGGAGGTTCATGCTGTGGGAGACGCTGTAGAAGGACAACAGACCTGCGCTGTGGTCCAGGTACACCCCGAGTCGAGAGGCTGGTGGTCCAGCCAGCTCCACACGCTTCCCTTTGAAGCAGAAGGAAAAGCCTTTGTCTGAAATGTCCACGCTCCAGGACTCAGGGTTGTGTCCAAAGGCACAGGTGTCCACATGTCCCCTCCTCTGGATGTCCCTGTAGCACAGAGCGACGCGCACGGCGCCCCACCCGCTCCGCTCCACCTCCCAGTAACAGCGGCCGCTCAGCGCCTCCCTGCTCAGCACCTGCCTGTAGTGAGTGAACCTGTCAGGGTGGTCAGGAGGGGGCGGGGCCGGGCTCCTCAGGATCACCTGTCTGTTGTCCGCAGACAGGGACAGCCCTGCGTGAGCAGAGGTGGGCTCCATGCTCACGTCACAGGCACATCTCAGGAAGCCCGCCCTGTTGACCGGCTCAGGCTCAGGCGGGCAGAAGAGCTCGAGCGTGGACTGAAGTGAGAGACACAGGGACGACACAGACGAGGTCACATGACCACAGAAGCTCCAGGCTTCAGACTGATCCAGGTTTGTCTCTGAGGGCTTTGGGGCTGTGGAGCAGAGACAGAGAAGGAGACGAGATAAAGAACAGTCTTAATCTGAGGCCCACATACGATGTAAACAAACTCTAAATGTAATGGTGAGTTGTGACTTTTCACTAATGTCATGACATGAAGTGTGTTTTTTATGTGTTTGGTTCAGACAGACTCACTCATCATGTGTAAAATAAATAAATAAATAAATAAATCAGTGGGCTCAGTAAATGCTCACTCAGCGCCGGTCCTTCATCATAAACTCCACTTTTACTTTTATTTACAACCCTGTGGAGGTCTCTGTGTTGAACATTCGGCTCTTACCTTTGGTCGGTAAATCCTCTTCATCATCAGCGTCCAGCGGGTCCAGCTCTGGCAGGCTCTCCTTCAGCTCGCTCACCTCCTCCTGCAGCCTCTCCTGGTTCTCCTGGATGCTCCTCAGCTGGTCCTTCTTGTAGAGGTACATCTGCTCTTTCACCTGGGCTCTCGTCTTCTCCAGCAGCAGGGACAGGAGGCTGAAGCTCTCGTCCACGCGCTCCAGTGTCTCTCTGGCTGTGCGGTGGATGTGATGGGGCTGCTGGTGAAGTTTCTTCAGTTCGGCCTGCTTCAGCTCGAGGTTGTAGAGAATATGGACCCTGCTCACCCTCTGGATCGTGATGGGATTATTGAGAGAGAAAGAGAAAGAGAGAGATTCTTTATTGATCCTGAGGGAAATTTAAGTTTTGCTGCTGCATAATTTACTCTGTGCTGTTTAGTTCAGTCCAATGAGGTTCATTTGATCTTCTGATATTTTATGTTATTAGGTTCTTTATTCAGATCAAGAGTTTGTTTTCGTATCTGTGTGTGTGTTTCCAGTCGCTTTGTGTCTCAGTGAAAGTCACTTTGTGTCTCAAACAAAGGTCTCAGGTCAGTTGAACAGAGTGACTGGTCAGGGAGGGTCAGAAGATCCTGAGGAAGAGCCAAAAATGTTTCTTCTCTGTGTCCTGCAGCGTCACAGCAGCCTCCAGGGGGCGCCAGGTGAACACAACAGGAAAATCCTCATTCTTTATTCCGCTCTGGTGTTTCGGTCGGTGAAGAAATGGTTTATTCCCCCTTAAGTGTTTCCTCTAGAAGATCTTCTGCCACATTTGCTGCCACATATGTTGTAAAAACTCTCCACAGTCTCCATGGATCCAGGAGAAACAATCAGCTCATTTCATACAATCCAACAGTCTCTTACGTTTGTCCTTTGAGCTACACATGCTGCACTTCTTAGTTGATTAAGGGCCTGTTTACATGAGAATACTTGTGGGTAAAAACGTAAAAATATTTTATTCTGAAACCATCGTCCAGAGTGGAAAAGTTGAGAGAGCTACAAATTTTATCATTCACAAGAATTTGAGTAAATATAAGAGCAACGGTAAAACTGAGATGGAAACAGATGTCGATGAAACATACATATGAAACACCATTATCCATTTATCAGTGCACAACAATAAGGATCAATGGTATGGACTTTTAAATAATCTAATTTGAGTTCTTCAGCACAATACGTACAATTCAAAAGCCCCTTGGTGAGTTACTTGTAATTAGTTGGAGAGCTGCTGGTAGCTCCCGAACTGCAGGTTGGAGACTTTAGTATTAAATACACCTGAAATCCAGTGTGTTTAAACCTAAAATGTCTCTCTGATCTGAATGGTCACTACTCAAACACCAGCACCTGCAGCCAATCCTGAGTCAGTGCTAGTGCAGCCTCTTTCACATGAGACCTGAACATAAACTGAGAATGAGACAAACTTGGATGTGTCTCTATCTGCAGGTTAAGGCTCTGGAGACACAGGTTCAGGTGTGACTGTAGTATCTTCTGTTGGTCAGATGATTAAATCCAGGTATACAGTTTGTGGGCGTGTTGCATGTGAGTGGAAACTGCCTGTAATGTCAGACACAAAACAGATTACAGGTGTAGTAATCCATGTTCACAGGACTGGGATCAGAGACTCGTGGAGAGTCTGAACAGCGACCTCCTCAGGGCTGCAGAGTCTGGGGCAGGTTAAAGTCTACAGGACGAGTAAATGTTTGATGGAGCGAACAGCTGCTCCTCTTTTGTGACAGAGGAACCCAAAGTGTCTCAGGGAAATGAAAGCTGCTGCTGCTGCTTCAGAACAACATGTGATGATTTTAACTTTGTGATTGTGCATTGTACATTACCTCTAAAGCTCCACTTCTAAAGCTGGACACAAAGCAGCTGTGTTTTCTGAGCCAAAGTTTCAAATCAAAATCACTTTATTTGTCCCTGGAGGCGGTTGTGAGATTGAGCAGGAAAATACAATAATGACAGAAAATCTCAAACAAAAAGTGCAGCTCAACAGGTCGAGTCATCAGGTTCCAGTGTAAGGAGAGTAACAACACTTAGGACAAAAGTTCCCCCTCCATCTGTGTCCTGCAGCATCACAGCAGCCTCCAGGGGGCGCAGGTGAACTCTCAGTTGTTTTGGTCGATGATGAGAAGGGAAATTCCCTCAAAGTGATTCCCCTGGAATGTCTTGTGACATATTCGGTGTTCAAAGTCTGTTTCGTTTGTTGTGAAACGTCTCCATGGATACAGGAAAAACAAACAGCTCAAATAACACGATCCAATAATCCTTGATTTCTGTCCTTCTTCTTAGTTTGTCCAAATCAAAAATGGTCAAAAATATTAAGTTAAAAATGTAACAACCACATGACCACTCACCTCTTGCACCTTCTTCCCAAATGTATTCAGTTTTGGCCTTTCTAGTGATAAATCATATTTTCCAATCAAATTTTTTGAGTCAAAATGTCCTTTTTTTTCACATATTCACACGTCCCATGAGCTGAACTTGTGCTGTGGCTTTTGAGAGACACAAACCAGAACTTCCCCTGGTTTTTGTGCAACTTCTATCCCACATTCATCTACAAACATTTACGGGAGGCGGATAAATACACGAGGTTACGCACTGTGTTTGACGCTATCGTGTTTCTTGCCTCCGATGAAAATATCTCCCAGCATGCAACGCGGGCTTTTAATAACAATGACGTCAGCTGAAACTCGCCTATATTTAAATAGAAAATATAATTAAAATATTTTAGTAGAAAATCAGCCCAGGGCCAGATTAAAGGTCTTGGAGGGCCGGATCTGGTCAGCGGGCCGTATGTTTGACACCCCTGGTTTATAGAATGAAACAAAAATGTTCATTTTACTCAAACACACATCATTTTGCAGTGGTCTCTTATTTTTTTTTCCAGAGCTGTACATCCTATACACAGTTAGTTTTTGTTTTGTTTGTTTTTTAAAAGCAAGTAAGAGGAAGATTTTAATATAATTTAGTTAAAATATTTCTGTTATTTCACTTTTGTTTTTCCCTGACTGCATACTCTCATATTTCTTGCGTCATAACACTGTGATGTAACTCAACCTAAACTTGTCAGACCAGTTTTACCTTTTGCGTCTCGTCATGTTCTTGAACCGTGTCCGGGCTGCTCCTCCTCTTCTTCCTCCTCCTCTTCGTCTCCTGTTTCTCCTCGCACACGTCGCACGACAAATCCCGAGGCCGTTCGCGTCGTTTGGCGGCCGGGGGCGTCCTCTGCCTCACCCCGTCCACCAGCGCCGCCAGCTGGAAGGTAGGTTTGAGGGTGGGTTTGCGGCCGTACGCTCTCCGGCACAGGGGGCAGCTGAACGGGCCGCTCTGCTGCCCCCAGTGGCGCTGCACGCAACTGCGGCAGTAGCTGTGTCCGCACGGGATGGTGACGGGCGCGGTCAGGAGGTCCAGGCACACGGGGCACGACAGGGACGAGAGGTCGACGAGGGCCATGGCTGTGGACGAGTGTGAGACGGAGAGAGGGAGAAGAGAAATAAATACAGCAGAGGAACAGAAAGAGAAAGTAAATTCAAGCCGGTTCCACCCACAAATATATATATAAAAAAGCAGGAAGGGCAGGTAGAGCTGAGGGAGAACTAAACCAGGACTAAACCAGGACTAAACCAGGTCTGTCTCAGGTCTGTATCAGAGCTATAAACAGGGTGGAAGGGGAATTCCGTGGAGGTGGGGGAATTCCATACACAAAAACGTGACATAAAACTCTTCACAACAAAACTTGACAAACCTGAATTCTGTGTTGTCATTGCGGTCTGAAGGGGAATGGGAAGTGGTTTAGGGCAGAGAGCAAAGGGAGGGGGTCAAATACGAAAAGCGAAACTTCTAAAACGTGATATTTCAGGTGAATATAGCATTTTAAAAACAATAAAGGGTAAAAAAGTGATCGAAATGTGTCATGTGTTACAGTCAGAGGTGGGACCAAATCGAGTTGTTTTGTAAGTCTCAAGTCCGAGTCAAGTCCCGAGTCAAAAACAAGACAAGGCAAGTCCGAGTCGAGTCTCGAGTCACGGGCCCATGAGTCTAAGTCAAGTCCAAGTCGTCTGCTTTGAACTTCAAGTCATTTCAAGTCTTTAAATCAAAGTATCTTAAATTTTTGCAATTTAGAATATATTTTTTTGCAAGTTTTAGAAATGGACATTTTTCCTTTTTAAATGCCTTGACAGAATAGAAAGAATTAAGATTTAAAAGTGCTTAATAACAGTTATTGGAAGGATCAAGTTCTCTGTAGTTCCCTCTGTTTTACTGTATTGTACTTTATGTTACTGTAGTACATTTGAGGATACCACATCACAGTACTTCAGTTACATCCAAAGTAACAAACAGAAAAGTGGGAGCGACATGTTCCAGTTTGTTGCTTTAAAATTAAACACCACATTTATCAACTGTAAAGAGAAAAGTATTTTCTATAAACATATATTTTTTAGAAGCATCAAGTCTTCTCAAGTCAAGTCCCAAATCTTAGGCTACGTTCAGACTGCAGGGCTTAACGCTCAATTCTGATTTTTTTGTGAAATCTGATGTTTTTGTGAGGTCGTTCACATTTCCAATTAAATGTGACTTGTGTGTGTCTCCAGTGTGAACAGTAAACAGCCTGAAAGTGTCCCACATGTGACACTGGAGACACGACGACGTCAACCGCAGCGAGCGTCTCTGTGTTTACGGAAGTTGTCCAAACATGAACACAGCATCGAGCACCTGGAGATTTTAAAGTTCCTCTCGTACCGGAGCCAGAACATGAACAACTTACTTGTTTTAAGGAGGAGATTGAGAAGGAGAAGGACGAGGTTTTTGGTCGTGGTGTTTTGTGGGACAGAACGTTGAAAGGAACGTGTGGATGTGGAGACGGAGCCAAGAGTGGTGAGTGGTGATGTGCTTCAGTGACACAGAGTTCATTAACAATTTTTTCGCCTACTTCATTTCTTATTTCTTATTTTATTTATTTGTAAAGGGACAGTACATATTAATGAACATTAAAAATGTAAATATGCAAAGATTATAGCCAACGTGGCTCATTTCCATCTTCAGTCCCTCGGCAGGTTGATGTAAAATCATCTATAGGACGAGGAAAAGTACAGCAACAATCACACAAAAGTACACAACACCAGCACACTCACTATACACACAACACACACACTGTACACACAACACACACACTGTACACACAACACACACACTATACACACAACACACTCACTATACACAATTAGTTTCAAACAGTTCATTTGAAGTTCAAAGTCAGAAGTTTAAGAATTAAGTCAAGAGTTAAACCAACAACCCCTCAAAATAAAAGAAAATATAAATTGTTTAAACATGGTGACATATTTGACCATTGAATAACCACTGTTTTAAAGCTTTAGAAAATGCTGCCAGTGTTGAAAGTTCTCGTACATGAGCAGCTCTGTGTTCATGTTTGAGCAGCTCGATAAGCAAAACAGAGTTTGTCCAAAGGTACTTTTCCTAAACGGCACAGAGCGTCGCCTCTGGAGCTGCTCTTGTTGTGCGATTTGAATTTCTTTTCACAAACTCCTTTAGAGGAGGTGGAGCAAGATGATTAAAAACTTTGTAAACCAGAATTAAATCTGCATATTTGATTGTGTTGTCCCAATTTAGGAATTTGTATTTGTCAAGTATTCTACAACAGTGATAATTTGTGGGCTTTTTGTCTAATACTTTAAAGTGATTTTTTATATATAGTTTCAGCTAATTTAAGAGTAGTTTTGTTTGTCAGAGTCCAAGTCGTAATGCAATAATTTAGGTGTGGCAAAATCATTGAATTTAAATACATAAATGCCGAGTTGGTCGTTAGATTATTTCTTATATGAGGAAAATTTGATAAATGATATTTGATTTTATTCACTGTTCTTTTGACGTGTTGTTTGAACGATAGTTGTGTGTCCAGGGCGACTCCCAGATACTTCACTTCAGCGCAGAATAGTGACGTTTGTGGCTTGTTGATAACGTGTAGGTGGATGAATGCACTTTGGCCGTTCAGACTGAAGTCACATGTCAAAAGATCAGATATGTATCGGTTTCAGGAGCACATATCCAAGTGGCCTGGGTCATTAAAAGATCAGATACTGGAACATAGAGGCCAAAAAATCGGATTCGGGTCACTTCAGGCTGCAGTCTGAACGCAGCCTTAGTCTATTTTATCAAGTCTCAAGTCCTAAAAATAGTGATTCAAGTCTGACTCGAGTCCAAGTCCCAACATCTGGTAACAGTTAATACCCCATAGACGTAAAACACCTCCTCTTTAAACTCGCTGCAATGCAAAAATATCAAAATACTGACAAATTCTATTGTTTAATGTGATGATACAGTATCGATCTTGTGTGATATATCGATATATCACCAGGACTGTTTTTTTTTTTTTGGTATATTTGGCTCAAATTGTTTGATACAACGCTACAGTTTTGTTGTTTGTTCAAAGGAGGACGAGTGTGTGAGAAGGAGAGAGGGAGAGAAAGAAACAGAAAGTAAGAGAGACCAGCCCCACCCACAAAATACATAAAGGAAGGACAGGTAAAGCTGATGGAGAAGTGTGAGGACATGGCTCTGTAATAAAAACTGGATAAGGAATTCCCCCTCTGTTCAGGCTCAAGACCGACTGGTGGCTGCTCCAGGTTCTGCGGCTCCCGGGAGTTTGGGCCTAGAAAGTTGTTGTTGTGACAAGGCATCGACAACTTTCACAAATGTCAGATTTTGTTGATTCTTTTCTATTTTCACAACATAAACTTTAAAAAATGTTTAAATCCTCAAAGTGCATAAAAGTTTGGGTGACACTGTATAATAACTACACCTTATTTAGCCTTAATAAAGCATGAACAAAGACTTAATTAATAATGATTCACGCTTAGTAACTACTTAATTACTACATGAATTAGCATTTAACTTGCACTTAATTTACCTGTGCTGTAAATAGTTACTCATAAGTATTTCTTACTTAATTACTCATGAACTAACCATTTGTGTGTGCATTTGAAAATGTATATTTAAGCACAAATTTGAGCATTTATTAATGATTAGTAAGTCATGAGAGAATGATTTACTAGTAATGCATTATTGTTTCTCTGGAATTTGACCAACCTTAACAAATGCTTAATAAAGCATAATTTGTCTTCACTTTAGAAAAGCTCTCAGAAAGACTTAACTAACAGATAACAGCCGCCTGAATTATCATTGAGTGTGTTTACATGCACATCAATAACCCGGTTATGATCGGGTTTTTTGAGTATCCCAGTTTCTTGATGGTGCATGTAGACGCAGTAACCTGGTTATTAGAAACCGGGTTACTGTAGCTGGTTTATTCCGATAGTAACTGGGATATTTGTCGTATGTAAACGCAGTATCCCGGTTACTGCAACATAAAGTTGAGTCGCATGCGTCCAAAAGTCACTTTCCAGTCTTTTCACCACAACAGTAGCGACATAAATAAATTGACCAACATAAATAAAGTGACCAAACAAGTGAAATGACTGTAAAATTAAGAGCTGCGCTAAACCTGCACACGTACGACCTGCACTCGTGTGACGCTGAAAAGCTAAAACATGAACTATCTCCTATACTCTATACACACAGAACACACTTACCATCATTAGCACCTCTTCTGTCACAGAAATAACACACATAATCCACAGAGTCGTGTCATTTAGTCCAAAAGAAACTGATCACATCAGCGGCACAAGGAGCAGCTGTTTTTATCACCGCTAACGGTTTATGCTAATTAGCCAAACGGTCTTAAGTTTTGTTTCTGTAAAACGTGAACAAATGTGATCACAGCTGAATTATCTGATCAAACGGGCTGATGTGTCTATAGTGTTTATGGTTTAAATAAAGTTGAGTTTATTTATGCAGAAGATTTTAATGAAGAATCTGCACAGTGGATTGTGGGAGATCTCGTAGCTCCTTAGCTTCTTATGCTAAAGGAGCTCACGGTTTGTATTTTTCCTGGTTTATGAAATTGTTTAAGTTAATTTTTGCGCCTGCGCATTTGTAAGATTATGTCAAGAAACTGGGATACTCCATTTGATCATGTATACGCGGATATGAGTGTCCTGGTTTCTCAGTGCGCATGTAAACGCAGTAACCCGAATACTGACAGAACCGGGATATGGCTAATAACCGGGACACTGATGTGCATGTGTACGAACTCAGTGTATTGCATTATTAGTAAATCATTCTCTCATAGCTTAATAATGATTAATAAATGCTCAAATGTGTACTTAAATATGCATTTGTAAACATGCAAATGGTTAGTTCATGAGTAATTAAGAAGTATTGAGTTACTATTTACAGCACAGGTGAATTAAGTGCAAGTTAAGTGCTAATTCAGGTAGTAATTAAGTAGTTACTAAGCATGAATCAATATAGGCGAGTTTCATTGTTGACAAAAGCGCGCGTTGCATGCTGGGAATTATTTTGGTCGGCGGCAATAAACACTAATTCAACATGACGGACGGAGCGAGAAAGCACGTAAAGGGTATTGATCCCGGTTATTTATCCACTCTAACGGCAGAGGACCCAAGACCATTTGACCAGAAATTGGTCATAAGCATCGATGGAGCCAAATCACCCTTTTCAACCCCGACAAAAAGGTGGACCAAACCAAATTTCTGGTCAGAATCGCCAACTACCTGGACAAATATTCACTTGGGCGATATCCACAATGACTTGGTGGAAACTCCTGGGCCATTCACAGCAGAAAAGATGAAAACCTCCAAGAGTCTCGATGTGTTGTTGAACTTGTTGGAGTCCACGGTTTGTTAGGATCTTCTACGTTTGCTCTGCGGATGTTTGAAAGTCGTTTAATTCACCGTTAGCGGTTCTTTTCACTCAGAATACGAAAAAGACATTTTCCTTCTTCCGTGCTTCTATTTGTGCATCCGATAATGCAGCAGGAATTTACCATTATCGGGGATAAATACGCGAGGTTACGCACTGTGTTTGACGCTATCGTGTTTCTTGCCTCCGACCAAAATATTTCCCAGCAGCAACGCGGGCTTTTAATAACAATGACGTCAGCTGAAACTCGCCTATTAATTGAGTGTTTGTTCATGCTTTATTAAGGCTAAATGAGGTGTAGTTATTATAAAGTGTTACCAAAGTTTGCTTTATAAGACTTGGCCTAACCCGCGCTCGCTCCGCTCTAACAGCTCTCGCTCTGATTGGTCCAAACGCTCCACGCCGCGCACGTTAAGCAAGGCAAGTTTATTTGTACAGCACAATTCGTACACAAAGTAATTCAAAGTGCTTCACAGAATAAGAAATACATTAAAATCGTAATAAAAACAAATCAAAACATAAATAATCATGAAGATTAAAATTAAAAAAGAGAGACATAAATTGGAGAGACGAGTGCGGAATGAAAACCTTTCAGTTATTTGCACAGTCAAACAGAAATGTCACACGCGTTGGAGGAACTCGCCACTATTGAGGAAGTAAACGCTGAAGAGAAAAATAGTTTTGGGCCCACGCACAACGAGCACAACGAGCACAGGCCTCTGAAAACAACACGTCTTGGATTCATCTTCAGATTTGATTCTAGTTTTATGGGCGAAGACTAAAGCAGGACTCCAGGGACTTTTACCCTGATATATTCCCCTAAAACAACACACTGTATTATTAGGTTTTTACCAGTTTCACTTTTGTATTTGACCCTGCTCCCTTTGCTCCCCGTGCTAGGCCACTCCCCTTTCACAGCGCTATGGCAACGCAGAGTTCTCCACAAGTTTGTCAAGTTGCTGTGAACAGTTTTGTATCACGCAAAAATACGACATAAAACGAAAGTGAAACTCCAAAAACGGACAAACCTGTGAGGTGCAGAACTCCGTGTGAGTCTGTGCGCTGTGAAGGGGGAG